AATATATAAATTATATAATTATATATATGTATATATATCTATAAACATTTATTATGTATAATTTATTGTATTTTATATATAATAATATATATAATAATATAAATAAGTTAAGCAGATTTTTTTTCTTATTTTATGATAATAAAATATTAAATTCAATCAAATTGATTCATAATTATATAAATAAAATATAATTATTTTTATTTATATTTGATTACTTGATAAAAGTAATTCGCGCCAAATAATAATAAGTTAATATTTAGATCGGATACTATTTACCAACTTTAAAACATAATATAAAATATTTTTTATATTTTCTATAATAATTACATCATTTGAAAAATGATATAATTTTTCAATAAATTATATCAACAATAAAAAGATAATAAAAGATTTGTTGAATTGAATTTCTTCAAATATATTAAAATATTAATTATTATTACATGTTTATTTTTATTTCCCGCGCTAATGAATAATAAATTTAGATTGGTAACGCTATTCTTTTCATTAGTTTCCGGTTTTAAGGTGCCAGATGTGAATGCGCGCTTCTACAAGCACCGTTAAATCATGCTTTGTCATGAGATTCGAAATGTTTCGTGAAATGGTATCAAAGTTTTACGTTCAACACGTATGAATAGACAAAATTTCAAAGGAAATAAATTACAAAAATTTTAACAGAAATTTGATAACATTTAAAACTTAAAGCGATTTTGTGAAAGTTAGAGGTGCATGTGCCTGGCGGTTCCGGAAAAGTATAGCACTGACGCAGAATTAATTTGTAATTTATTAAAAACGTGAACGAAAACTGCATTGATATATTAATAGATTGATATGCCGCTACTTCGTAAACAGCCATTTCAACGTCTTCACGTTTCTTCAGATTTTAAAGATGATGATGAAGTTTTTCACTGTGAGGTTACGAATGAAATTTTCAAGGACTATAAGTAAGACCATGACAGCTGAGATCACTTTGAAATATGTTTTGCAATTTTGTCAATGCGATTTTTTAATCATAACTACTTTATATTTTTTTAATTTATCTTGTTCATTCATTTCTATTCTCATAAATATACATATATCAATATATCAAATAATCTGTTCTGTTTTTATAATTTTGTTTTGTGCTAAATAGATAAAATTAAAAAGTACATTATAAAAAATCTTTAGATTACTTATATTTATTGTCATTGTTTAAATACCAGACAATTTGAAAGATTAAATTATCTTATTTAATTTTACATTATCAATTAATTATATATTTGAATTTATATTTTTTAAACATTTTATTTTTAATTTTTAACTTTTAGATATAAATAGATATTATTAATTTTAAAATATTAATTGTTATTAATTATTATCAATAATAACAATTACATTAAATTAAATTTAAAATATGTTTTGTGATTACAGTGAATTTTGTGAGAGAATTATTTTATGTAATTCACTTATATGGTCATGTAGTATAACTGGCAGAACAAATATGACCTATGAAGAAGCTTTACAATGTGAAGAAAATGCAAAAAGGAGCCTTAAAGAATTTCCTATGGAGGTATGATATAAATTTGAGTTATAGATTTAAAGATATATAAAGATATATTATAATTCTAAATTCATTGATATTATGTTTTATATTATAGTTACGTATTCCTATATTATATCTTGCCAGTAAAACAAACAGATCATCTTTTAAAGAAATGATAGAGGATGTATATCAATTTGCAAGAGATCGTTACTTTGTTGGTGAAATGGTAGAAGCAAGTTTCACAGAAGATTCTTGGTGTGATTGCCATGTTCTTCAAGTTATTGCACCTACAGAACAACAAATTAAACAATATACTAAAGAAAACAACAGGTAGAGATCTCTTTATCATTTATAGATATAGAATGCATTCATATTATTGTAATTTATCTATGTAAGTTTATTACATAGAAATCCACAAGAACAACAATATCATCCACCTGCAAAATTATTTCGTTATGAAGTAGAACAGTTAGACTCTGGAGATTCTGATGTTAGTCAACTTATGATAGTGGAAGCAACTCAAGTGAGAAGAAGAAAGCAGCATTACAGTAAAGAGCGTAATAAAATTTTTTTACGTCAGTTATGTGAACAAAATGAAACTGGAATATGGACTATCAAAGTTAGTAAACTAATGATTATAACTAAAAATAGTTTAAATATATTGATAAAAAAATATGTTGTATATTTATAGGATAGCGTCTTACAAAAATATGGAATTAATAAAGTACGATTTGACACTATATTTGCTGGTCCTCCTCCAGACTTTACATCGCGTATTAAGAAACTTATTAAACATAAACAAGAATCAATAGATAAATTTCTTACTATGGATGTAGTAAAACAAAAAACAGTAGATAAACCAGATCCTTTCAAAAAAGTAAATCAAGGAGGAGTAGATATAAAAAAATTTCGAAAGCCAAGGTAGAATAATGTATGACAAATTAAAAATAGTTTGTAATTTCTAATTATATATTAAATTTGTTACATTTATAAACAGAATGAATGGAAAATTTAAAGAAGATCTTAAAGCAAAGGCTCTAGAAGAAAAAGCAAAACGTAAAGAAGAAAGAGTCTTGAAAAGTGAACGTAAAAAAGAAGAAAAGCAAAAATTAGCAGCTTTGACTGCATATATAAGACAATGGAATAAACCAAGAGAGGATCTTGAATGTGAAGATCTTTCTCCTATTCCACAAGCTACACCAGTTAAGAATAGTATACCTAATGAAAAATTCGGTGACAGCGTAATGATTCTAGAATTTTTAGAATTTTTTAATGAAGAATTGGAAGTTGGTGCATATTTTCCAAATGGTTTTACTTTTGATTTATTAGAAAAAGCATTGTTATTAAGAGAAACATCTGGACCTTGGAGTGATCTTTTACAATTATTATTAGCAAACATTTTTAAATATCAATCAGATGAAGAAAATGAAATTCATGCTCAAGCATCAGATGTAATAAATGATGTTAACATGAATGAAGGAGTGTCATCAATGACAAAAGCAGTAAAACTTTCTACTATAGCTTCTAGCTGGTGTCAGATGTATCAAGGTTGTAAATTATCTGAATTGACATTAGATCATGTAACTTTAAGTGAGATTTTAAGACAACATTTATTGTCGTCCGGAGGACGAATTGGTGACGTTGCTACTAAATGGAGATATTCTCAAAGAGGTATATAATTTTATTAAATAAAAAAATTAAATACAATATATTCATTTTTAATTTTGTCAGGTGGTTATACAAATCAAGATGATCCTGCATTGTTGATGAGAATAAATGAGGCATATATTTTAAGATTATTGGGTCATCGTAGTGTACATGAATTTGAGCTCAATGAAA